TGACAATGGGTGGCCGTCTTACACAGGTTTGACTGTATTATCAAATTCAGTTACAGTACAATTAAATTCCAAGTACAATAGAGAAAAATTATTTTGGTTTTTAAAAAATGAATAACTGTTGTGTAAGGAACAGGGCAAAGGGATTATAACACTCTCATAAAATGCTCTTGCTCTTTCCACACAGGGTAAACCTACCCCTGTTTACTTGTTTACACAATTCATACATTCCTCTACAAACTAGTGTCATTAATTTAACTTCATCTCAAAGCACCTATGACATACCAAAAGGTTGCGGATCTGTGATGTATCATTTATGTGTTCAGGTCAGGCCCTTCAATTGTTTACATAGCACAAAAATTAAAATCATTTCCGGATGAGCTTTGAATACTCAAATCATAACATCATAACAACTCTTCCTACCTCAAACCTACTGCGATCTGTATGAGTCTTGGAAACACGAGACCTGGGGAAAGAGCATGTTGATATGGTCATGTTTTTGTCCTTTCTCTTACACAAAATCCCTTCCAGAAAGCTTGAGGAGAACAGAATTGTCAGGAAGCTCAAAGGCCCACTAAAAACCAGAAAGAATAGTGAAATACCATTAAATAAATAATAAGTTTGTTGGTCAAACACAAAAGCCAGACATTATTATTTTCATCCAAAGCAAGACAAATAAACAAGCTTTAAGATTATACCAATAACTCTATGTGCTCAAAAATTGACAACCGCCAGATTCCACCATGTTGTGACACAAGTATGATTGTGGTGTGCTATGTACTTTGGCATGTCTTGACCTTCTTTTTTCCTTCTCTTTTTGCTGTCATTCTTTTTTCAAACCAAAAAAAATCCACCTTCAAAATTATGTTTCCGTCAGGGGAAAACAGAAGTATAGTGTGTGTGTGTGTGTGTGTGTGTGTGTGTGTGTGTGTGTGTGTGTGTTTATATGTGTATGTGGTGAAACACCAAACCAATGTGCCAGGATCGTGACCTTAAAGATGTATCTTATCTTATATTCTTGTCCACAAACATTCAGACTTGGGATTATTCAGAACGTGATGCCCCACAAAGTAGGGGTGTAGCTCAACTATAGTATAAAAACAAAAGGCCAGGGGGATTTTTTTTGTGGGTAAGTGTTTTACGGTGCTCGCAACTGCATAAGGTCATATGAGCGCGCAATACACATTTAACATTTTCAATTGGTAGGACATTTTTAAATTTTGCCCGGGTGGCAGGCGAAGCCTACTCAAATCGATTTTTTAACCACCAAGGGATCTTTAACGTGCGCAACTTGCACAAGGGACCTCCGAGATTTTTCGCCCTTGTCCGAGAAGGCTAGGTGAATATCTTTCCTACCAGAAGATCAGGGGTGTGTCTGAAAGACAGCAGTAAGAAGGAGCCAAGGAGTAGCAGTAAAAGGCTGCAGAAAAAGTCAGGAGTCCGGGTTCTCTGTTTTGCTGCTGGGACGTTGTATCCCTCTCGTCTGCGTTGGCCTTTACAAACAGGGTCCAGGCTCGCCCTCTCAATTATTATCTGAAATGTGTCGATGGGAGCGTAAAAGCACTTACATTTTCAAGAAGAAAAAAAACAACATAATTGCCACCACCTCAGCCTTGCATGATGGGGTTCACCGATGCTAATGACAAAGATCAAATCCCTGACGGTTTCTGAAAGTGTGCAGAACTGACCAACAACATCTGAAGGATGCAAAGGATTATCAGGACCTGACCATCGAAAACAACATGTTTGTTGGTTTGTTTATTTGACTGCCTGCTAGCTTGTTTGTTTGTTTGTTTGGTTGGTTGGTTGGTTGATTGGTGGGTTGGTTTGTTCGTTTGCGTAAACAGATGTATATTGACACACTTGTTATGATCATTTAGTGCAGAAACAGACAGACAGATAGACAGACAGAAACAACAGAGGAAAAGAAAGGAAGTAGAACCTTCCAGTGGCGCACTCCACCAACCACCAAAAACAACAACAGCAGCAACAATCATGAACAGACACAAAAAGCTTACTCTGTCCCTTTGGAAAAAATCAAGACGTCCAAAATCCTCGACAATTAAAACACCACTACCACTCTCCTGACTCTAGAATATGCTTCTCTCTCTGCACAGTGAGCAAACTTGGAGCAAAGACAATTAATTAGGGGCAAGTATTTTAAAACGCAAACGTTACTTCATACTAATATTATCTTAACACACACGTTGCTTCATATTATCTTTACCCTTGAACCCTGCATCATAAATGTTGTTATTGTTATCTGAGGTAAAACTTATCTTTCTTGTCTGTAGCTTTTGTCTGTTACACTCAGATGTTGAAACTATGATAGTGACGTATATACTCAAACACTTA